CCTCACGGATGAATTTTCTTCTCCAAATTTATGTAGTACTCCTGATATCTTTTTTAATTAAAAAAACATCAATTAAATCAACTTACCCCTTTTAAAAAATCGGTGAGCATTTAAAAAGCATTCGCGTTGAATATGAAACCTCGTTTATTGAATTTGATTAAAAATTAGTTTTAAGTGTCATAAAAAGTGTACCTATCACTTTCACTACAGAATATCACAAGTTCACTTCTAAACACAGGCCTCTCCCATGAATTGCCACAACGTACCGTACTTTGCCCACCCGCGTTCATCGACTGACTGCACGTTTTACCAGTACGTCACAGTACCTGGCTGCAACCGAAGTGCCTTTTATTCCCATCTGTTTTCGGTTCTTTGAGTATGTGGCCGTGGTAGGAAAAGGGGAGATCTCCCGCCGGGCAAGGTGTTCTGCCCGAGGAGCGGCCAAGGCTTCGTGTGATAGTTCGAAGCTGTTCTGTATATACTGTTTATGATTCGTAATTTTGATAGTGCGATTTAGGTTTCGACGTGTTCTTTTCTCGAATACGGTAAATAAACAACCACACAGTCCACCCGATGGTAAATGGGTGATGTGGACCATATACATCCATATATATCCTTGATTAAGAATGAAAATGCAGATGCGTTGTCACACCTAAGGACTCATATGGAATGCCTCGTTTCTTGTTATAAGTGTATCCTGTTATCTACACTCATCATACGAAACACAGCAGCATTAAGCTGCTTTTTTACGGTGGTATTATGTGAGAGCGTGGTTCTACCACGGTCGAGTCGACCCATTACGTCAAGCCTCTATGGGAAGCTTTTACGAATCTGATTGAACGATATCTGGTAGTGGATATTCTTACACTTCGTGGGTTTAAAAGTAAACATTCCAATAGTAAGTTATAAGGCGATAAGTTTTAGCAGTAATAAAGTTTAATCTTACGTAATTTCTGAGCAAATAAAAAAGAGCCTGCAGTTAGCCGTAGGATTTTCTACCAAGGAGAAATAATTCACACTATCTTCAGTAGTCATAAAACTTATTCTTGAGAGTTGTTTGTTCTCGGAGGTAACTTTTAGTTTAAGTTATAAAAATATATATATTTGAATATTTATTAAGGGTAAAGTACGAGTAGTAGCATTTCAAACGGCCCATTTTGATATCAATACCATTGTTTTCTTTTAACGAGTTTTTGTTTTATTTTATCCTGTCCACCGAAATTATTTATTTCTTCAGGTATTGTAACTTTCTGGTCCAGATAAGTGGCAACCGTTACAGCCTATCAAAAGTCCTCTGCTAAACATAGGCCTCCTCATAGATTGTCTCATAGATCTGATATGTGTCAGAGTTACCACGCTTGGCAGACGGCTTAGCAAGTGCTTTTATTGTTTTGAGTTTCAATCAAGAATCTGTTTGATTTCCCTCTGTCTACCTTACGACACTCACGAGACATGCGGTAGTGCATTTTCACACGGCAACCTGTATTTCGGTGTACTGTCGTATGTTCACTGGTAAATCATCATCATCATCATCATTACAGCCCTTCACAAGTACACTGCTGAACAAACGCCTTCCCAAAGGAATTCCAAAAGCACGGTCCTTAGCCACCTGCATGAATTGACTTCCTGCTTGTCTTACCAGGTAGCTTTATTAAGTAAGCCGATAGGTAACACGGTATTTTGTGAGATCATGGTCCCCCGCTCAAGCCAACATTGTTACAATCATAAAGCTGTAGCGTAGCGCTACCACGTATACAAACATAATACAGCTGCAGCATAGCTCTGTCATATATAATTCATTACATTATGAAACATTAAAAAACTCTAGCGTTTTACACTGTATCGTTAAAGTGATATATAAAACACTTTACCGTGTTATTTTCATATCAGGTGCAACGTTTCTCTTACATGTTTATAATTTCGTCTGTCAATACAATTTTATTTAAAAAATATGAGCTTATGTTGTAAGTAATGTGAATGTCAATAATGACGCCTTTTCCTTGAAAAATAGCGTATATTTCTCAGAAGGCTCGACGATAAAATGATGTAAAAGGTCATAAAAGCGTATTTGGCCATCCCGTAAATACGTGGGAGCTCATAGCCTACCGCAAGGATATAGAAGGGTCAAGGTTTTATTGCGTCGTCCTGAAATATTTTTTAGCAAGCGTGATTAGATTTTCGAAACCAAATTCGTTTAGTTTTCTTTGCATTTGCGTTCTCACGTATCTAAGCATTTCTTAAATTTGCTTTGAAAGTAAATTTTTAAAAAGAAAAAAGTACTGTATTATCTCAAAATTAGGCAGCCACAGGCTGCTGACGATGACAATGATCATTATTTTAAATAAAGGATATCGGACTCATGCAGCAATAACGAGCAAACCGTTAACTTCGCAACCTATCATGAGTCTGCATTGTGGCTGCATTAGTAATGAGTCGGTTCGATCGCGTATTTCGTGAAATTTTTGGTGATAACCGGACAGGTACTCTGTTTTCTAGTAACGAGGTATTCCATCTTAATCTTAATAGGGTTACAAGAACTCATCCGCTTTTTAGTTCTTAACCGAGGGTAGATGTAGATGTTTATGTAAATATAGGTGCTGCAGCGTAATATAGCGGCAGCACGTATAGATTTGTTCTCTCAGATAAGGATCAGGATACACAACAGCATACACTGCTGTGTTTATTCTGACTGACGAGAACCGGAGACCTCTTATACTACTTAGTAACCAGGTACTCCACCTAAGACGATCTGGGACAAATAGTTCTCATATTACATGTCGCAAAAATAATGTTTCACTTATTCAATGCACTAACTGCGTTACTTGTATAGATGTTTTAAACGTCAACTAATTGGATATTGGGTTTATGATGTCAGGTGGAATGTGTGCTCTATTGCCATTTTAGTTGTATAAGGTCGGGGAAAAAGTTTCTTCGTATTTTACGAGTTTCTCGTATATACAATTTCAAGACATTTTTTTTCAAAGCTTAATTTAATTTAATTATAATTTATATGTGCCACTTTGTTTGATAACTTGTTGCCATTTTGTAAGTAGTAATATAGTCCCATAGCTGTAGAAAGCTTGGGATTATTTATCTAAAAATGCGACGAGTAGTTTTGACAGTCCTCTCTTGATGTTAACCTAACAATACCCAAAGAATTCTGAAGAGACCAGTACAAGTAAAAATTTGAGAGTACAAGGACTATATGGTGGATGCATTAACACTTCCCAAATAAGCTGCCTTAATCTTTGCTGAGGGACCAAAGATGTGTGTGGTTTAGCGTTGTCATGATGAAAGACTCATTAGAAAAAAAAGTAGAATATTGTAACATTGCCTTTTAAAAAATAACTTAAAGGGGAAGACTGCCGGGTGTCTTTCGCCGTTTCTTCTACGGACAGAGGAACATAATTTTGAAACTGTACTAGATTAAAATAACATGTCGAAGTTCGATAACCGAAATTTTAATTCCTTACATCAAAAGTAAAGGATTTTAATTTATTTACACCCACAGAACACGGAATAAGACATTAGAACGGCTCCAATGCACTCTTTGTACGAGAACCTGCGTAGGCAGTAGGCGGAATCCTGTTGTCACAACTAAATTTGCAATTATAAGTACACGCTCACGCATACATTAAAGACGCCAATCAAATGTGTAAAAGAACCAATCAAATGACAGGCAAAAATCGAGCGAACTAATCCGGCGCGTGCTCACTCACACATGCACACATATATGTAGTGAAGGCGTAAAGACGCGTAAACAACTAGTGAGGTGAATTGGCGATTGACAATTTTTTATCGATATCGATAAAAAACTACAAGTTGAGTGTTCGTGTTATGTATGCAATATGTGTCTCCAATCTAAAGAGGTAAATCGCGTTGCGCAGATCCCTAATGAATTGGGATAAGAACAGGGAGAAGAAGAAGACATATATCAATATTTCCACGCAAATCACGTCTTGAGCAAAAATTAGTTAAAATTAATTACATAAGTCAGAGCAAACCTGAAATGCGTTGCGTAGCTAATACGCCAACAATATGAGATGGATCTAAAAGTGCAATAATTGGATATTTTGTGACCGGATCTTCAAATTTCATTTTTCCCTTTTCAAAGTTACATCCCAGGTGTTTCAACATAGCTATGTTAGAGGCACAGCCATCAAAAGTTAGAGAAACAATTTTTACTCCAGTTTCATGTATCTTTTCCAGACATTGTTTTACTAGTTCAGCTCGTTGAACTCCAGTCATTCCGTCAATAAAAAAATAACCCATAGGCACCTTAAAATTACAGTTAATGCCAGTCACTAAAAAAAAATAATGCCTTCTTTGCTTCCGTTATATGGCCACCTTCTATTCCGCTACCGATCTCAACATGCCCGTGCAGTTTTACTCCGTCCCATTCTATACGACGTCTTATTGCCATTTCATCTAGCATTAGACCAGCTACGATTGGATATTTTATTGAATTTGACTTTGCCTTAAGAGCTTTGAAGAATTCGTCTGTGAAGCCTGGTTCTCCTTTTACACTTGTGTACCATTTTCGTAAAGTACGTACATGAGGCGAGCATGTTTTAAATGTATCTCTTACGTAATTATACGCTTTGGGCGAATAGTAATGTAAGGTAAGTGCAAATGTTCGGAGAGCTGGGGAATAACGCTGTTTTGTAATTCCACCGGACTTTTCTTTTGATATGTACCGATCAGTCAATTCTTCCACCTACAAATAAAATAAAAATTGTTTACCAAATTCATTCAAAAAATATGAAAGGAATCCTGTAACATACATACAAAAAATTAAATAATAATAAAAAGTCGGTTTAAAGAGTAACCTTTTACCTGTAAATTTGTGCCTCTCAATGCACTTAACTGTTCTTCTCTCAGTGAAAACTTTTTTCTAAGTCATTTATTATATCTGCCATTTTATGTATTTTTTCTTTAATCGCCGATTTTGTGCTTGTATTCTTTTAATCTGATTTCTTTGGTGTTTTATGATATTTTCTTTAGAAGATATTATTCGTGTTAATCTTCTTTTTTCTCGGCGTTGACGCTTTGGAGTCAATGAAGGAAGGAACACTGGACTGAAATTTTTTTACATAGTCCGTTGTTACCTGTATTGCTACACTAGAACACTCCTCCATTAATACTGAAGAATTAGTGGGTACTGGATCCATATCCTTAATTGGTTGATTAACACTCTCTTCCATTAATACTGTTGAAGAGTTTAACGGTACTGGATCTACATCCCTTATTGTTTGACTAGCACTCTCTTCCATTACCGTAACCGTTGAAGAAGTTGTCAGTATTGGATCTACAATTTCTAAAATAAAATAAGATAATAAGATATGCAGTGCTGTATATTAAGCTAAAATAATAGTTTAACTACGAAAGATAAACGAAGTTTGTTGATTGGTAACAGCAATAAAAGTGAAACTCAGCAAAATAATGTGTTAGTTAGGTACCATCTATAACTAACCTGAACTTTAGCACGTTTGTTTATTATTTCATTGCCTATGTTCTTCTGAGTACGTTTTCGTGGTGACAAAGTAGAATCTTTTGTATCATTAACCTAAAAAATATTGTCAACAATATATGAACATATTTACAGTTATGAACAAAATATAACTTTATAAAATAGTATACACATACAATGTACACAACTTGTACATGTGGTACTGCACCGTTTTTTAATCCAAAATGAATCCAAAATCCAAATAACAAGGTTTGGTTGATGGCCGCGCGAAATTAAAAAGACGCCACTTTCCGGCATTCCCTTTTACCTAAGAATATGAATCTATAAATATATCGATAAAATGTTTAGCGTAATGATCAATGCCATTAATAATTATTTTTATAAGAAAAGATAATGAAGATTACTACCCAAAAGAAATTGAAACTTATCGATAAATTGCTACAGAGTGCGTGTCCTTCACTAGAATCATGTGTCACCTTTACATTGCGTGTTTAAAACGACACTATACAATTGGTATGCGTACTTTGCCAGCAATGTATATTTTTTAGAATTTTAATAACATTTTACAGATTTTGACTTAAAAACCGTAAATTTGAGAAGTTTTTTTTACTTACCGATGAAAATAAATTCCTCCTTTGGCTACACTCGACACTTCACTCCTTGCTTTATAACTAATAACAGCACAAGTAGGCATTTTTCGTCAAAATTAGTCACCGCGTTTCACTTGCGCATGATGTGAGTGACTTACGAGCGCGATCACGTGTCTCGGGATTTATATGACTGTTCGGGCAAATCAGTGGCACGCGTGCCCCGCCCACAATACCATTCTATGTTTTTCTGTTTTCTATGTTTAGACCTGTCCCATCCAAGTTTAGAATCATGTGCAAACAATGATAAACACTAATTACAAGGTAGAAGGTCTAACATACTGTGTTGCTTATAAATCAGTAAGCAATGTAGTTAAAGTACAATGAAAGTCATATAATGAGTTGCAACATTGCCCAATTAAGTACATAATTACTAAATTATGAAAATCGCGCTTCGTAATACGACGCTATGCAGCTACGAATACCTCCTCATATTATTTGTTATTGGGTGTTCATTATTTTATAAGAAACAGAAATATTTAAATACTTTTATAAACCAGTGCTTGACTTAGATCTCACTTGATGGCAAGTGATGATGAAGCCGAAGATGGCTTAGTGACTTAGTTTAAGAAACTCCTATTCACATTCATGTTAGACCCATTTCCTGCAGAGATAATAAAGATGAAAGTCAAATAACACTTTACACCGGGTGCGAAGAGATGAAGTGAATATAATCAATCTTTTTTCCTGTGTATTGCATTGAACTAGTGCAGAGACGTAGTTGAGAGATTTTTAAATCTTTAATATGTTTTGAGGTCTCTTGATTCCGATTTTACGACATTTAAAAATATGTCTGTGTGCCCTCTCTGATAGAACAAATCTATACGTGCTGCCACTATATTACGCTGCAGCACCTACATCTACGTAAACCTACCCTCGATAAAAACTAAAAACTAACGGATGCGTTGTTGTAACCCTATTGAGATTAAGATGGAATACCTCGTTACGAGAAAACAGGGTACCTGTACGAATCTCGCCACACATTTCACAAAACACAACAGCGTATTGCTGTTACTTAACGCTGTGAAGAGCGCGATCAAACCGACTCATTAGTAATACAGCTACAGTGCCTGTAGTCACTTTGAGTAGAACGTTAAAATTCTATACACTCTTCGTCGTGGATACCGGCAGCACAAGAGGATCGCATGTAAAGCTTCAAATATGTTTTCTTAACCGAATTTGCATTTGTAAATTTAATCACGCTCGCTAAGCAAATATTTCAGAACGGCGCCATAAAACGTCGACTATTCGATATTCTCGCTGTAGGCGCGGTACGCCTTTATAACATTTTAAGTCATTTTATCGTCAAACCTTCTAAGAATAACAAAAAAAAAACTCTTTGTGTTATTGTTTACCACCGACAACTTTTCCGGACCGATACGACTTCGAGACTCGAAGAGCTTACTCCTTTCTAAAAGGCCGGCAACGCACCTGCAATTCCCCTGGTGTTGCAGCTGTTTATGGGCGGCGGTATTTACATAACATCAGATGAGTCGTACACTCGTTTGCCCCCTCTCCTTTTAAAAAAAGGAAATATATCCTATTTTTCTTCAAGAAAAAACCGCCGTTATTGACATTCACATTACTTAAAACATAATCTCATATTAAGAAAAAGAGAAAGACAGAATAAAATATAAACGTGATAGAAAAACTTTGCGGCTTGTGTGAAAATAAAACTCTAAAGTATTTTGTGAACTATAGCTTTTAAGTGTTTTATAATGGATAATTTATTCATGATAGAGCTAAGCTAAAACTATATTATTGTTGTATACGTGCGTGGTATTTATATGCTACAGATTTATGATTGTAAAAATGTTGGCTCGGCCGAGGGACCATGATCTTACAGAATAATTGTACTAAAATATTTGCTTAATTAAAACTCGCTATTATATTCGCGTAATTTTATACTATCACGGTCCCCTCGTTTTTTGGCTCTAGAAAATCGAAAATTATCAGATTTCGATGATTTTTTTTAAATATTCGCTTTTACTGCGGATTTACGAAAAAAAATTACAGGAATAAAAACAATTAAAACTTATATTAGTTTCAGGGCTTTAAATGTTCATGAAAATGCATATATTCACGTATATACGTTGTTAACTTTTTTACAAATAATGGAATGAAGTTGTTATATTTTTTTAACAATCTAAACAAAAAAAACGAATGTTTAAAAAAAAACTGAAAATATTTGTTCCAAAATTTTTTATTTTGATGTTTTATTGAGTGTAAGATCGAGCGAAGCGAGCTCGGGATTTAGGGCATCCCGAGTCGGACAGGTTTGGTTAGAAGGAGATAGGGATCGAGTGAGCGAGTGAAGCGATCGAATAGCCCCCACCATCTCCGTCGTGGTTATTTTTCTATAAACCACGCAGAAGTAGGAGCATCGCGAAGCGGTGCTTCGTCGACCGGGCTTCCCTTGACTGCGCTACGGGAGAGAGTTGGGGAGGGAAGCACCACGCAACTCAACGTAGCGCAGTCGAAAGAAGCCCAGTCGACGAGGAAAATGCGGGGTCGAGTGAGCGAGCGAATATCTCTCCTTCTAACCTAACCTGTCCGAGTCGGGATGCCCTAAGTCCCAAGCTCGCTTCGACCTTACACTCAACAAAACACCAAAATATTAACTTTTATAATCATTTAGATTTTTTAGAACGTTTATGATAACATTTGAAGTCAGAAAACCATATAAAAACTTTTAGTGAGAAAAAATGAAAAAAAAAAACAAACATTTTTCAATGTGTTTTTAAATGTTCGTTTTTTATAGACTAACAAAAAAAAATAAACTTAGTTTAATGCTTTGCAAAAAAGTTACGAATGATAATATTCGAATAATGATCACATTCAAAGTCATAAAACTAATTGAAATCTTCAGTTGAGATATTTTAAGTTAGGCAAGTTTACGTTTGCATTTGTATATTTACAAGCAATTGTACGACAATACGCAGGACAGACCGACGTGCGAAATTGCACTACCGCATATCATCCCGTGGGTGTCGTAAAAGGTGACAGAGGAGAAATCAAATAGGAGTTAGGCAGCAGCATTTTCCCGATTGAAACTCAAAAGTTCAACGTTGCCAAGCTTGTTATGCGAATTAGAAACTACAGCTGTCGCCTCTTACGACAATATCGAGACGTTATTGGGTAGTGCGTATTCTCACATCACCACTACACAATCTTTACGGATTATGTACCAATATTCATAAAATTTATTTATCCCAAAGAATTTTATTTAAATTTAAAATATTTTTGTAAGTCTAAATTTTTACTTTTAATTTAATAATTCTGTCTAGAAGTCTGTCTGAATTACGTTATGTTATTACATTAAAACTCCGAATTGAAAAACCTACAAAATAAACATTTTGTTCAATATTGCTAGGTATATTGAAATGCTAGCGAAACCTTTTTTTTCAAGAATACGGGTAACAAACGACCACTTTTTCCACATGATGGCAAGTGGGTAATATGGTCCATGTACATCAATATTTATTCATAATTAAGAATCAAAATGCAGATACGTTGTCACACCTAATTGTTTATATAGAATGCCTTCATTCCAGTTAAAAGTGTCTCCGCTTCTCTACACTCAGCATACGAAACACAGCAGCATTAAGATGCTATTTTAGGGTGGTAATATGTGAGACCCCGGTCGAGCCGACCCATTTAAAGTACAACAAAAAATATAGCAGCAGCGTGGCTCTACCGCGTATAAATTTCATTATGTTGTAATTTTATTCATGAATTTTGCTAAACTTTGCACACATCATCAATTGCCTACATTTTTATCAAGTATTCGTTATTCATTAATTACTGCATAACAAAAGTTTCATGCAAATTCCCAACATAAAGCCTCCAAGGGGCGATTTTGTATCTACCACGCTTGGGGGGGTGGATTTGCAAACGCAGTTTTCTATTTTCCTTAGTTTTTATATATATTACACTACTTCCATCTCTTGGTATGTTTCCATTTGTCGCCGCATACGACACTACGGGACGATACGTGATAGTCGATATTTTTACACTACGTGGTCATACTCAATCTTATGTGTAAACAAACAACATTTTGCAACATCCTAATAGTAGGTTATAAGGTGGTAAGTTTTAACAGCAGTAAAGTTTTATCTTTAGGTAATTTCTGAGCAAATAAAAGAGCCCCTAGCTA